CCAAAACCCTAACCTAAACCTAGAAGGGAAGAAGCTGAAACCCCCAAATTAGGTAAAATTCCCAGAATCTAATCCAAAATCTCTTCGATTTGTCTTTGTTCGCGGGTAAAACAATGGAACCACAAGTGAAGGAGAAAATAGAGACAACGGTGCGCCAAATGCTAGAAGAATCCGACATGAACGAGGTGACAGAGCACAAAATTCGAAAGCTGGCGTCGGAGAAGCTTGGCATTAACCTATCCGAAGCCAAATACAAGGCCTTTGTCAAGGAAGTGGTCGCTTCCTTCCTTGACGAGCTAAAGGCTAAAGAAGAAGAAGAAGAAGAAGAAGCCGCGGCAGATGACGGCAACAAGGGCAGTAGTAACCAGGAGTATGATGATGACGGCGACCTCATTGTTTGCAAGGTTTGTTCTTTCTTTTACTCCATCTCTCTCTCTCTCTCTTTCTTTTTAGTTTTTCCTTTTTTTTTTTTTTGAACAAAGTCGCAAAGGTGGGATTCGAACTTGGAACCCACCAGGAGGAGGGACTGCATCTTCGAGCTGATCCGAAGGGCCAGCTGCTCTTTCTTTTTAGTTTTGAGTATTATTTTGTTACTCTGATGCATAAAATGCTTTTCCTAAGTGGGAAGGCCAATAGGTAAAGTTTAAGGGCAATCAAGCATTAACAAATTAAGATGAGACCCGTCCCTTTTTTTTTTTTTCATTGATGGGTTGGGGTTGTTGTTGTTGACTGGTTTATATATTTTGATTTTAGCTGAATGACAAGAGAAAGGTGACGATCCAAGAATTCAGAGGGAAAACTTTGGTTTCGATAAGGGAGTACTACAAGAAGGATGGAAAAGAACTTCCTACATCTAAGGGTAAATCCTCTAGTCAGCTTCTATTTTACTTGTTTGATGTTATTTGTTCAGGTTGGATGTCTCTTTTTTTCTGTTTCAATGGGTTGATTTCTATATGTTAAAAAGTTGCAAAAAATTGTCCAGTTTTTGGGGATGGAAAGTGATTGGATAGCTAAAGGACGAATTCTTTTCCTTTTTGTTTGGTTTGCTTTGCTTGCCAGATTAGTAGTTTGTTGAATAATTAGGGAGGAAGGTAAGCAGTTGCTGGTGAGTTTGGTGTGAACTCGGTTGTGCTTCATTTGTTTCCTTTGTGCTCTATCCTTATTAGAAGCTTTTCTAGTTGTAGTAGTGCCTCATTTGACTTTGACCTCAATCTGGTGGACAAAGTTTAATCTTGAACCTAGCTTGAGTTATTTTATACTGTCAATGAGATGTTGTGGTTGTTTGCTTTTGTCAAACTGGTAGCTGTACAAATGATAGTTGTTTTGCTGAAACTATCTGTCTCTCTGTGCCGTACATTTGTGTTGGATCTTGGAAGTTATAGTCATATTTTGGTTTATTTGTTCTGTTATAAGGTGGGTCTTAACATAATTCTGTTTTGTTGTTCATGTAATAGAACTTCTTTTGTTGTTTTAAATTCTGGTTTTCCATTGCCAGGTATAAGCTTGACTGAGGAACAGTGGTCAGGCTTTAGAAAGAACATATCCAACATAGAGAAAGCTATTGAGAAGATGAAGGCGAGGACCATGTAAAAGGCTATCTGGGCTGGGAGAATGTGTAATTGAGAACCTTGGTTCTTTGGTGACTTAGCCAGCCGACCAGGCATTACTTTTGTGTGCAGGTTTAGCATCCATGTGCTAAGTGAAGATGTTTTTGGGTATGGCAAGTATGTGATTTTTTTTTATGAATGCTCATGGTGGAGTGCTGGGCAGCTAGCTCTTACTCCCTTCCCCCGCCCAAAAGCCTTTCAATGAAAGAAGACATTTTTCTTGAAGGATTAAGATTTTAATTCCTCTGCTTTTTTTTTGGTCTGTTTTGTTCTGTAGGCATGAACAACCTCTTAGCCTGAAGGCAGTCTAAATAATTTTCTAACAAACTACTATTATGAGATGAAATAATCTTTTAACAGTTAAAACGCATGGAGTCACCTTCATTCAAATTATCATCTACTCCACTCGCAAGTCGCAAGATTGAACGTTTTATTTTTAGACAAAAGCAAAATCAAAAGCTACATGCCTTGGGCTCGGAGATGCGGTGCATGCACATGTCAGGCAGGTGCAGGTCCATGTGGCATACAAGTACACCACCAAATCATCATAAGGCTGTAAACAAAGCAAGAATCTCATCACTACTAAAAACTGGATGCTTGTAGATAGAATGCAACTGGCCATTCATCCATTGACACCACAAGATTTCTGCGCCCGCCACCTTAAATCCTACTCACACAAACTTCACCGGCTAAGCATCACAAAATTCTTTCCCACGCCGGACAATGGGCTGCACTTCCTCCAAACGGGTCAAGTCCACCGTCGATGTCTACCATCCACCGCCATCAAGCTTCGCCGTCTTCAACATCAACGCCATAGATGAGCCATGGGTTGTGGTCGAACATTCACAGAATCAACACCAAGAGAAGCCCGCTCGCCTTCCACCTCCCATTCTTGACAAGCTCAATACCTTTGAATCTGATGTTCCTCACTCTTGGGACGAAATTAGCAAAGCCCTCGATGATCTCAAGCCTGCAATTAACGACGTTAGCAAGAAATCCCCACCGAAGCCGCCTGCACAAGTAATTAGCAAGCTGCAAAACACACGAAAGAGCTCCTCTTTTCATACCCTGGAGGAGCTCGACGCTAAATTGTCTTCAAAACAGGCTAAAACAGAGTTGAGAAAGACAGAGTCGATGCGAAATGAGTTAGAGAAAGCAGAGGTAGACAAACCGATGTCTCCAGAAGCGGCGCCACGAGTAGTTACTGAACCAGTGGGGTTTAAGTCGGTGAAGGACAACATATTTCTAGTTCGGGACAGGCAGGAGAGGGAAAAAGAAGGGAAGATGGTGAAGAGGGATCCGCTGAGTGAGTTCCCGGACAAGTGTCCTCCGGGTGGAGCGGAATCCGTGGTGGTGTACACGACGTCGTTGAGAGGGGTACGGCGGACGCACGAGGATTGCAGCCGCGTGAGGGGGATATTTGAAGTACAAGGGGTGGTGGTGGACGAGAGGGACGTGTCGCTGCACGGTGAGTATCTGAATGAATTGAGGGGAATGTTGGGGGAGGAAGCGACGGTGCCGAGGGTATTTTTGAAGGGAAGGTATTTGGGGGGAGTGGAGGAGTTGGTTGAGCTGGACGAAACTGGGCGGCTTGGGAGGTTGCTGAGGACGGCGAGAGTGGAGAGAGGGGTGGAAAGGATGGTTTGTGAAGGGTGTGGGGGGGCAAGATTTGTGCCGTGCCTGGAGTGCAACGGGAGTTGTAAGGTGGTGGTGGATGATGGAGATAAGAGGGAGAGGTGCGGTAAATGCAATGAGAATGGATTGGTCCATTGCCCAGCTTGTTTCTAAGCTTTTGTTGGGTTTGTGGAGTACTGGTAGTATAGCTAATGGGTTGTTCCTGTTTTTGAGTACACAAGCATAGTGATTAGAGAATATAATTATGTATTCTCAATATTTGTTTGCACTTAATGGTATGTATGAATAAAGTGAAGGGCAAGGCTTGAATCAGTCTCATTTCAATATTCAGAAAGTTGCAACCCATAAGCAAATTGTTAACAAACAAGGCTCAACCTCTAAGAACAACAATGGTAAAGTATTTGATTGTGCGCAGGTGCAGCAATACTAAAACAGAGGATTCAACCAGGATAATAGACAAATTAATAGAAGATAGTATTTATTTATGTATAGACTACAGAGGCGAAACCCAATAACAAAAACAGAGGCTTACATCGCAGGCAGCCTCCAAACAAAAAACATTCTATTTCTACATCATCATCATCATCATCATCATCTAATCTACAATCTCTCAAACACATCCAAGCCACAGCCTATCCATGATTTCTTCAAACTCTTTCATATCTTCTTCGTTATTCTGTTTTTCTGCCTGTATCTGTATGTATGTATAATCAGACAACGGTGTTGTATCCTGTTCAAGCCTTCAGATCTGTTCCTCAAATATGTCCAACAGAGAGAGTGCCTGCAGATTCCAAAAACAGGTACAGGACATATATCAGAATCTGCAGTGCGCACGGCTAAAAAAATTTAAAAAAAACATACACATACACACAAGTAGGTTTGTTTTCACTGGTCTGAATTCAGAAAGATGATTACCTCGGGTACGTTCAGTTCGAGACGGAACTTGGGGCCATCGTAGTGATGGAGAATTGGTCGGAAAGAGTCCTCTTCCAGAGGCTCACACACTTTTCTTGTAAGAACCCGAACCTGAGCAGGGAAGCGAGATTCTCCAGGACACTTCTTGTCTTCCCAGGCTGTCGGATCAATGTTTGTTCCACCGAAACTTGCAGCCTAAACATACAGATACCATTCAAAAAACATCATCATCTTGTTTACTACATGAAATGAATTATCCAGAAACTACCAAATGAAAAAACTAAATAAATAAAAGAAACACCAACCTCAAAAATTCCATGGAGTTGGTGGGTGGAGTAGTTGTACAGGAAAAGAGGAAGGCCCGGTGTTATCGCCCGCACTGAATCTCGGTAACGTGGAGGCAAACCTTCACATACACAAAATCAAAGATCAGTACTTTAGTAAATTAGAAGTTAATCAACAACAAACTTTCCCTTTTAAAGATGTTAATTTCTGTAGTCATAACAAAATTCAATGATTTCTCAACAATAAAGAAATAGAATAAATAAACCCCAAATCAAGAAGGTACAGAGTAGAGATTGAAATTGAAGGACAAACAGTAACATACCAAACAGCTGTCTTTTGAGATTCTCTTGCATAGTATCATTGTTGCAGACAAAGATGTAGCCACCAATGGTTTCGTTCCTCGGCAGAGCCTCCGACGGCGGCAGTGTCTTGAACCTCTTATCCGCCGCAGTTTTGCTGTCCTTATTTTCACCGTCGTTGTTGTTATTGTTCTTCCTGTTGCTGTTTTTCTTTCCACTCTTTCCTCCATGCTCTTCATTTCCGGCCCTGTTCTTACCCTTCAAACCGACATCAAAATTGTTGCTCACACTGCTGTTGAAGCTGTTATAGCTGTTTCCCTTTGAATAAACCCCTTTATTGAACCCACCGTTGATGGCCACGTTCTTCTGAGACCCACCGGCGACAGGTCCGATCGGACCGTACCCAACGCTGTTACCTACTCCGATCTTCCAACTATTATCGTTGAAGCCATTAAGATCGGATGGTTTGTTGGGAGGAATAGGATGGTTAACTTCCCCACCGACTCTGATATCGAAATTCCTCCTCTCATCGGTGGTCCTCTTGGAGACATAGTTGTTACTCCAGATTGAATTGTTGCTCCAAAGTGAATCGTTGAGCGACAGATTAGCCAAGTTGGAACCCTGCACACGAAGCTGATCGCTGAATTGAAAAAATGATTGCTGGTTGTTCTCCATCTTGATTTCCCCACTAATTAAGATCCTCCAAATACTCCTACTCAGAATCTGGGTATTGGAGATCTATATATATATATCAAATATAGTACGCGGATAAACAGAGAAAATTTCCACAAGAGAAAAGTTGAGATGATTTTTGATGAGAGAGTGAAAAAGTCGTTGAAGAAGGGGGCAGTGTTAAATGCAGAAAGGAAAAATGGGAAATTTCCAGGAAAGATCGATTGCGTTTGGCTTTGCGTGTGAATTTGTCAAACCCCCCGACTTTACAAGTATGAACGCTAATTATCCCACTACTGGTTTCAATTTCGTCAAAAAAAAAAAAAAAATACGGGATTTTAATTTCATAACTGCATACTATTAAGCTAAGTTGCCCAATAAATGAATAAATAAAAGACAATCTCCCCTCATTATTTTACATAATATTCATTATTTAGAAAAGAAAGAAGAAAAATATCATTGAGGCTTTTGTCGTCTTTTTCTTTTAAAGGATTTTAACACTTTTTCCCTTTCTAGTTTTGTGGGGATATATTTTCCATTTCATCCTTTACCTTATATTTTGATTTCAATTGGGTCCAGACCTTTTAATCATTTTCAATAAATTTCTTCGTCACGTTTTCTCTGTTTCTTTTCTTTTTTTTTTTCTTAATAGCTCCCTATACTTTCTCCATTACTAGAGTAAACATTAGAGCGTCTCTTGCATTGTTCTTTTTCAAAATAGAACAAAGCGCAAATTGAAGCAACGTTGGAGCAAAATATAGCATGAACAGTGACCAAGCTTGGCACTCTGAGTAGAGCCGAACTTGGTCAAAAAAAATTTGCTCCAAAAAGAACAAAAGCTATGTCGTTTTGGCCATTTTCCATTGAAATCCAGCCAAGGTTTTTGACTTTCTTGACATGTGACGGTGCGCTTGTCAAGTGGTGCCAGGAGATTGCCTACCACTCAACCCACCAACGGCTGTTAACCATTTTTATTGAAAATTTTTATTTAAATATATAAAATATGGTTAGAATAAAATTATAATTATGTGATTTGCTAGAAAATTTTGTTTTAAATATGTATTTGAAGGAGATGTTTTGTTAAATGTTTTATTTAATATTTTATTTGAGAGTTAAATATATAAAAATATAAATTTATATAAAATGATATTAATTTTAATAATATGATAACTAAAAAATTTATGTATTAGGTCTTATCTAATTTTCTTTTTTTTCTTATAGGTATCACACCCTTTTTATCTTTTTTTTTTTAATATTTTTTTTTCATTTTTAGATTCTATAGAATCCCAAAAGTGTTGACTACTGTGATACTTTGAATTGCTTGATAAACTGAAGTTTCAATACAATATTAGGTATTGTACTGAAACTGTAAATGAAAAAGGAGTTATGGAAGAGAAAAAAAAGATATCATGTCAAAATAAAATGTGAAAATTTAGCATGTCAGTTTAAACACAAAAATTATATTTAATTTAAAATTAATTAACAATATCTAAAGTAATTTTTTTTATGTTCAACTTACATACTTCTTTTTTTATTTTTATAATATGAAATTTTCTCACATAACAAAA